TTGAAACTCCATCTGTTTATCAAGACTCCCAGTTTCTGACATAGTTGTAGGCTTCACAATGGTTCTAAGCAGAGAACTTTCATCAAAGACAACGTTCCTGCTCATAATAACCCTCTATTCTGCTGGAGACCAGATTCTGAAACCTTTCACTCCATCTCCGTAACCCACAAATACTCCCTTTTTAGCTCTTGGTTCTAACTTACCTTCACTGACGTGATAGTAAGCCGTACAGCCAAAAGCTTTCAGATTTGAATAATCAGCATCTTCTCCTGACCATATCTCCATAGGTGTCTTGCACTGTATGCCTGTATGTGGTCAGCAGTTAATCAAGTAGCAAGCTGTACTAACCGCTTGGGCCCAAAATACAGAATTGACAGATAATTAAGGGCCTAAAATACAGAATTGACAGATAATTAAGGTCCTAAAATACAGAATTGACAGCGAGACCCCCATTCTTTCTGTTGTAACGGGTCCGATTCAAGGCATTCAACAAATCTCCATCTAGACCCCCCGACTCGCTGACCGGGCAGCGAGACCCCCGTTCTTTCTGTTGTAACAGGTCCGATTCAAGGCATTCAACAAATCAAAAGAGAAATGTTTGCATCTCATCTTAATGTTTTAACTTTTGTTTTCCAACACCATCATTTATGAAGCAATGCTTGTTCTTAAAGAATACTTTATATATATTTTTCTAGAGAACTGATCAATATTTAACAAGTTTTAATCAATATTCTGGTAGCATGAGGCAAAACGTTGTAAACAATAGCTCTTAGTTGATGGTTAGAGAAACTCTCACAACAATAGTTTTGTATTCTTATATACATAAAGTTAATTGTATTTTAACTGCTTATGTGTTAAATCGTGTGCCTCATAAAAAATCTAAATTGATACCTTTTGAATTGTGAACGGTTACAAGCCAAATTTGAAATATCTAAGAGTTTGGGGTTGTTTAGCCTTTGTAAGGCTAATGGATCCCAAGATCACAAAGTTGGATAAGAAAACTATTACTTATCCTTTGGTTGGTTATGCTTTGAATAGTAAACCTATAGAATTTTTAATCTTGAAGATAAAATTGTGATAGGATCGGGTGATGCTATTTTTCATGAAAATGAATTTCTTTTTTATTCTAAAAATAGTGGGGTTCAAAGGATTGAACAAAATATTTAGTCACTACCTAGTTCTTCTAATTCAATTGTGAAAAATAAAGAAGTTAATGATTTTGAGTTAAGAAGTAAAAGAGCTAGAATAGAAAAAAATTTTGGTCCTGATTTTTATGTATTTAATGTTGGAGATGACCTTTTCACCTTGAAATAAGCATTATCTTCACATGATGCTATTTTTTAGAAAGAGGCTGTAAATGATGAAATGGAATCACTAATTCTTATCATCGGATTGTAAAACAATTGGTTGCAAATGGGTCTTAAGAAAAAAGTTCGAACCGGATGGTTCTATTGATATATGTATATAATGCTAGACTAGTTGCAAAATGTTTTAAACAACTAGAAGACCTAGAATTTTTTGATACTTTTTCCCCGGTAACAAAAATTACATCAATTAGACTTTTCATTACTATGACTGGAATTTTTATTTGCAAATTCATCAAATGGATGTAAAATTATTTTTTTAGATGAAGACCTAAATGAGGAAATTTATATGAAACAACACGAGTCTTTTATTGAAGCAGACCCAGAAAACAAATTATGTAAACTTACTAAATCCCTATATGACTTGAAACATGCACCAAAGCAATGACATGAAAAAAATTGATCAATATCATCCCACCGACGGACATTCATTATCATTATCCTACCAATGGATCATTATCATTATCCTACCAATGGATCAATATCATCCCACCGACGGATATTCATTATCATTATCCTACCTATGGATCAACATTATCCCACTGACGGACATTCATTAGCATTATCCTACCAATGGATCATTATCATTATCTTGTCAATGGATCAATATCATCCCACGGACGAATATTTATTAGCATTATCCTACCAATGTATCATTATCATTATCCTACCAACGGATTAATATCATCTCACCGATGTATATTCATTAGCATTATCCTATCAATATATCATATTATCATTATTCTACCAATGTAACAACATCATCCCACCGACGAATATTCATTAGCATTATCCTACCAATGGATCATTATCATTATCCTATCAATGAATCAATATCACTCTATCGACGAATTTTTATTATCATTATCCTACCAATGGATCAACATTATCCTATCAATGGATCATCAATATCATCCTATTAATAGAGCAACATCATCCTACCGACGGATCTTCATTATCATTATCCTACCAATAGACCAACATTATCTATCAATAGATCATTATCATCATCATCCTATCAATGGATCATCATCATCATCCTATCGATGGAGCAACATCATCATCCTATCATTATCGTCATCCTATCAATGTAGCAACAACATCACCATCCAATCATTGGAGCGTCATCATCATCCTATCATATAACAATATTATCCTACTAATGGATCAACATCATCCTACCGATGAATTATTGACATCTTCCTGATGATCATTAATCATCATCAATATTTTCATGTTGCAAGAACTTCATCAAGAGAGCTATCCACATATTACATCAGTCTATTTCTTATCACTCCATATTAAAGAAAGAGTACATTTGAGATTATATTTCAAATATGATACATAAGCTTTTTTTTACGTCAAATTCGAGAAAGTTGACGTCAACTGTTCGAGGAGAAAAAATATGTGTCAACACGGTAAAAGACGTTATCTCTCCATTCGAACTACAATTTTTATGCTAATGAGTTTTATCTCTATCTTTGTCGGGAGCATCCAAGAGGATGAATTCTCAAAGCAAATCACAGGTGCGGGCGACATCAAAAGGTATACATCACAACGTGAAATTTTTTCTAAGCAGCGAATTGGGATATAGTCTGAAGAGGAGTATCAAACTCCTAGGACGCAAGCTGAGGAGAGACTTCCACCACAATTAAACCACAACCCTATTAGAATGCATGTGAGTTTTTTCTTTAGGTTTCTCAATTTCAGTTTCGTATTCGAAAAATTTGGTTCACTTGGAGCAACTTTCTAATCTGAGTGAAAATACACCAAGAACTTTGGAAATTATGTCCGTGTAAGTTCTTACTTATTGGTGTGAAAGGCCCCACATTCATGGGCTAAGAGGTTGCAAGCCTCTTTTTCATACTCAACTTATTTGTCACTCTCCCAGAACCGAAAGTTATCTAGTACAATAGATTTCCTTTTCAACCGATCGAATCGAACTACAAACAGTCTGATTCCTTGAGTTTACGGATATGTAGGCGGTCTCAATGTTGAAAACTCGCCTGTATTTCAACATTCGCTCTTAAGTCTTATTCTCGAGCATTTCGATCCCTTCATAATTCGGTATCGAAATAGCTTTTGAATTTCTTAAAAATGGTGCATTAAAGCAAGCGTATCGAGCTACAAATGGTCTGAATTCTCATATAGCCAGAGATATGTAGGAAATTTATTTTCGGTGTTCGGTCATAATTCCTAAAGTACGTACCAAAAACTTTCTTCTAAGGGATGAATATGTGGTCGGTCAAAATTAGATTTGTCAATTTCATTTTTGTCAGAGTTCTTTCATCAATCCAAGTCAAACGAGGGACAGTTGTTGACACCTAATTATGACCATCCACAATATAAATTAATCATCGAGCTTCTTAAATTCCAAACAATTTGAAATTATTGGCTTTATAATATTCAGAATATTATTCAAGTTATTTAAATAGTTTTGTTTCTCTTGTATAATTTTTAAAATATATATATGTTTTATATAGTTTTGTATATAATTAGTATATTTTATGGTTATTCGAATATCATCTCAAAAATATTTTTTTTAATTAAATATTTGATTAATTAGTTAGTTATATAATGCTTTATATTTAAATTATTTAGTTTATATTTGAGATAACTATTTTATTTTGTTAAGATTGAGAAGCTAGTTGATTAATTATATTAATTCGTCTTACTAATTCATTAACGGAGTTTGGTAAGTAAATTTTATTTTGCCAATTCCAAATACCCATGTCCATCCCAACGTCAACAACCCCTTCCTTGTTAATAGCATACAATAACATACATTACAACACACATAGAGAAGGCCCAGTCCAATTCCACCCTGTAGAGTAGCCAGACGCACCCACAATTTCCAGCAAACCAGATGCGACCCGAACCCAGAAAATCGGGCGGCCGCTCATCCTTGCTCGGAATCAAGAAGTCCATCCATTGAGAATTGTACGAATCCCAACTTTTTCTCACTCGTTTCCCCCCTAAATCCTCTCCTATTAAAGGCTTCTTTCCTAGTCAGTGAGGCAGTTGGTGAAAAACTAAGGTATAGAAAAAGATTTTCGAGGGTCGTAAGTAGTGAGTCAAAACTTCAACTAGAAGCACTCTCAAATAGCATCCAAAAGAATTTGAGTTTTCTTTTAGTTCCATTTTTTCTTTCTGTGAACATCAGCTACCAACAGTTAGAGGAGAATAGGAAAGGCTTTGTATTGATTGCACTGAAAGAACCTTTTAGAGAAGAATAGGAAAGACTTTGTATTGCACTGAAACTTGTATCTACAACAATGATCTACAAGTCTATTTATATAATGATTTATATCCAACTAATTACTGCTCTACTTACTGTCATGGCTAGATAACACTATCTAATTATGAGTTTGTTATAACCTCCTAACTAACTACGATATCACTAATCTCAAGCTGGATGGCAATAATACATTCTTCAGACCAAGCTTCACAAGTAAATACCATGTTGATCCTTTCCAATCAGCTGGCTGCTCTCTTGTTCCTATGTGATGAGTCTTGATTAGTCCTTGTTGTAGTTTTTCTCTCACAAAATGACAATCATTGTCAATGTGCTTAGTTCGTTCATGAAAAATTGGATTTTCAGCTATTTGTATAGAAGCCTTGCTATCACAATGCAAATTAATAGGTTGTATACACAATTGGAACTCCCAGTTCCTTGAATAGACAAGAGAGTTCTGCCACTGTGGATGCCATGCTCCTAAATTCAGCTTCAGCTGAGCTCCGTGAGATTGTTTCTTGCTTCTTCGACTTCCATGAAATCAAGGAAGATCCAAACTTAATCATATAGCCTGTGACTGATTTTCTGGATTGAGAAGAAGCAGCCCAGACTGAATCACAATAGGCAAATAATTGATGAGATGTAGTAGAAGACATAAACAAGCCAAGCCCTGGAGCATTCTTGATATATCTAATCACCCTGATAGCAGCAAGCATCTGAGACTCTGTTGGTCTATGCATGAATTGACTCAAAACCTGCACTGTGTAAGCAATGTCAGGTCTGGTCATAATGAGATATAACAGTTTTCCCACTAGTCTTTGGTACCTCTCAGGATCAATCAGTAACTTATCATTAGTTGTGCTTCCTGTGGCTATATCAGACTCATAGGAAGTCTTTGTTTGAAGTCAAGTGGAGTTGAAGCAGGTTTAGCTCCCCCTTGACCTGAATCTGCAATTAATTCAAGGGCATATTTCCTCTGATTCAAAAAAATTCCAGAGGCATTCCTGGAATATTCAAGGCCAAGAAAACATCTCAAGACACCAAGATCCTTCATCTTAAACTTCTGCTGAAGGTTGGATTTGGTAGATTGAATGAGTGTATTGTTGGAACCAGTAAGAATCAGATCATCCACATAAACCAAGATAACAACATCAGATTTAACAATAAGAGTGAACAAAGAGTAGTCAAAATGACTCTAAACAAACCCCAAATCCTGCAAAGCTGAAGTGAGCTTCAGGTTCCATTGCATGGAAGCCTGTTTCAATCCATACAAAGACTTGTTTAGCTTGCAAACCTTGTGATGAGAACCTTTAAAAAAACCTAAAGTTATTTGCATATAAACCTTCTCAACCAAATCACCCTGAAGGAAGACATTGTACACATCCATTTGATAGATGTGCCAATTTTTAGAGGCAACAATAGCTAGGACAAACCTGACAGTCACCATCTTAGCAACTGGGGAGAAGGTTTCTTGGTAATTAAGACCCTCCTTGTAAATCCCTTGGCAACTAGCCTTGCCATGAACCTTTCAATCGTACCATCAACTTTATATTTTATTTTAAACACCCATTTGCAAACCACAACATTCTTTCCTAGAGGAAGATCAACAATGTCCCAGTACCATTTTCTTCAAGAGCAACAATCTCTTGTTTCATTGCAAGAACCCATCTGGCATCTTGAACAACCTCATTATAGGTCATAGGTTCAATTTTAGAGGTGTGAGAAGCTAGGTAGGTGGCATACTCAGGAGAAATTAGAGCAAAGCTCAGGTAATCAGACATAGGATAGATACAAGAGTTGACAAAATATTCATTAAACCAGGTGTAGACTTAGGTTTGTGTGATCTTCTTAATGGAGCCTCAGAAACATCAAACACTGGATGGTTTGCATGTACTGGAGCAGTAGGAGGGGGAATAACATGTGTAGAGGCCATAGGGTCTACTGGAACATCCGCAACAAAATCCATGACAGGAAATATAGGATCATTACTAGGAATCATCTATTTAAAAGGATAAACAGATTCATGAAAAAATAACATCCTTGCTAAAAAAGAACCTTTTAGAATGCAAATCCTATAGTTTATAACCCTTCTTAGTGGCTGAATAACCCATAAAGACAATAGGAAGTTCTCTGGCAACAAACTTATCCCTCGTCTGAACATTTACTGCATATGCTAAACATCCAAAACAATTTTTTTTTGGATCCATCTGTATCCAATGTTACTATTTTTATTAATGGAAAAGGGCCTAAAATATTCTCAAAATATTGGAAATGGTATAAAATTACTCTCCATCCATCTATTGGCTCCAAAATACCCTTCCCACCCACCTATTGGGTCCAAAATACCATTGTCATCCATCTTTTGGTTCAAAAGTGACCACTTATATATTTAACGGTTTTATATTTAAACTATTTAAATATTTTTTAAAGTACATGACACTCAACTATTTGTTATAATTTAACTTATTAGTATAATTTATAAATCACACTACCCACTCGTTACTAATTAAACCCCTCTAAATTAATAAACCCATCACATTATTAATGCAACAATAGAAAAACTAATGCCAATTGAGCATTTTAAAAAATTTGAGGAGAAAATATCTATAGAAGTAAATTATCATACATTCAAGTATCGAAATAAAAATTACCGATAAACTTAGAAGTCTGACTATGTTCATCTTAATTATTTTTACGTTTCAATTATGTGATGTTACTTCATAGGTAATTTTTTTTCAAAATGATATATTGAAGATTTTAAAACAAATCATAAATATTTATAAAAATTATATTTACAAAAAAGTGCATGAATTAATTCGGGATGTATTACTTCTTTACCTTTAATCATAAATTTCTAATTCAATCTTGAAAGAAAGTGTCCTCCTAAATAAGCGGCTCAACCTAAATTTAATTGGGGCTTCAATTCGGACTCGAACAATTTTGGATGTCATATCGTGTTTTAGTACAATTTATGATGATTTTGATATTATAATTTAATTATTAATTAGGTAGGGTTTAGTTACTAATGAGTGGGTAGTGAATTGGTTTATAAATTATATTAACAAATTAAATTATAACCAATAGTTGAACGCCAAGTATTTAAAAAAATATTTAAATAGTTTAATTTTAAAACAATTAAAAAAATGGTCAAGTTTGAACCCAAACGTGGATGACAGGGGTATTTTGGAGTCAATAGGTGGATGAAAAGGACATTTTGGAACCAATAGGTGGATGAAGGGTAATTTTTATATCATTTTCAATACTTCAAAGATATTTTAGGCCCTTTTCCGTTTTATTAAAAATGCAAATAATAAATATTAGTAAATCTAATATTGTAAACTTCATCCTCTTCATCAATTCCTTTCTTTGATCCTAGTTTTTTCAAGTATTTTTTTAATGCAAATGATGAATATCACAATATTGTTGAGGTGATCTCGTTCATGGATCTCTGAAATCGAATATGAAAACCATAGGATTGATGGAATACCTTTGAGTGATAATGCAACCTACAACGATCTAGTTAATGGTAATTCAAAACAACTAAGAATCGATTGTATCCACAAAAGAATATAATTTAGATACACGATGGAACATAATTTAACTACAATGGAAATTTGAAATGAGGTATGCATGAGGTTTTTCATGAAATTAAAAGGACGTCATGTAAACTAACTAACAAAATCGATTAAATATGATATTAATCTTTTGATACACATAACTACAGTTGTTTAAAATCGAACAGAAACTGATAAGCTTAATCGATAAAAAAGTTATTGATTTATAGCATTGCGTTATTGGTTTAGTGGTTTTAATAACAGTTTTGATTTTTTTTATTGGGTTATCGGTTCTTAACGGTTTGAAGTTTTTTCTTAACAGGTTAACTGATAACCTGATAGTAAATTAAATAATTATATTTATACCATTTTGTATATAAAGTCCTCGACTTAGAGTTTAATTTCCTACTTTTATTTTTTGTTGTCTCAAACACTTGGTTATTCGACATTGTAAAAGTGTTTGTTTTTAAACAAGAAATAACTTGTGAACTCAAGTGCATGGTTTATTTGGTTTATCACCTTATTTCTAAGTGATTCTTAATGTTTTTTCTTTTGTGTCAAATCTTAACGGTTAAACTGATAACCGAATCGAAAACGATCAAAAACCAATAAACCAATAACCAATAAGTCAATATCTTAATGGTTTCATAACTGTATAGCATATCTACAAACTGATAACCAATAAGCCGATCCGATAAACTTCAAAATGGAACTGAACCGACTGATACACAGCCCTACACATAACATATTATTCCAGATACATTGTGACAATTTAAGATACTCCTGTTTCATTGTTGAGATGCATATCAATAACTTCTGATATAATAGGTGTATGCATATCCTGTTAAACTATAACAGACGCATAGTGTATTATATTAAAGATACATGAACTCTAAAGCTATTGAAATAATGTAAAATTTTAAATAATTACCTCACAAGTCGAATAATTACCAGCAAATTAAATGACATGGTGTAAAATCAATTTTCTGTCTTCGCAAATGCGACAACAAAATGAATTGTCCGGAGGAAGAGAAAGTAATTTGAATTGTTAACATATCATTAATTAAAGAGATTTAATTGTAAGATAATTATTCATTATCATAATTAAGAGGATTGTATATCTGAATTTAAAATTTTGAAAAGTGTTATTATATGTAATTTTAAACTAGAGGTAAACTATGTATATATGATAGTGAAGTATGTCTAGATAGGTAGTTTTTTCTTTTTTAAAAAAAGAAAAACTCTACAAAAATATTCTCTTATATAATTAACAACTCTAAATATTCTATTATGTATTAGAAAAATTTAATTACTGAATTTTAAATAAATTTTCAAATACAAATATAAAATATGGGTAGGTTTTATAAGAGAAGAAATTACGAGGGAAAATAACATACGGAAAGAATGAAAAATAAGAAAGGAAGCTACAGAGTGATGTCAGAAGATTGTCAAATCTGAATTAATTTATATTTATTTTAAATACATTTAAAGAATCGTCATAAGAAAATGAAAATAAGGGAGGTAGACGTAATCTAATAAACCACAGGAGAGGTGCGTGCTATAGAGCGAAACCTGAAGGGAGGTCTCTGAAATTGTTCCTACAATTTATAATAAAATTACTAACTTCTAGATTTCTTTAAAAAAGATTTAACCTCCCTTGAGCTGTCAATCCCTTTTGCTCTCTTGGTGACTTGAACTCGCAACTTTCGAATTGAAGGTAAGGGGTGCTTATGATTTGATCAATTCCCTCTCATCCTAAATTCTAAATATAAAACTAAAGCAAAAAGTTTTGTGAAAAATACCACTTTTCTAAACCCTAGAAAATATTATTATCTCAAAATTCATATAGAAATCAATTCTCGATTAAAAAGGCTAACTGTGTGAAATAAATAGTAGGAGAAGCGCCAATGAAGTATTTTTATTGGAATAGTAGGAGAAGCACACAACAATCCCAAAAACCATATAGTAGAAACTTTTTAATGTTGCTTGTAATAAAGTCTTAAGTTTAGAAATATTATTTCTCTTGTATTTGCATCATGATTTGTTAAGATTGTAAGTAGGAATAGCCATTAATGGTTTCTCTCTACATGTTACCATCCCAAACTTCTCATCAATGTCTAAATCACAAGGCTGCATACCATTTGGAAGCTCCCACTCAAAGCAATGCACCAATTGTGCCACCACAAGGCGGACGACAATAACTGCCAACTGCATTCCAGGACAACTTCTTCTCCCAGAGCCAAATGGTACAAGTTGAAAGTCGCGTCCACGAAAATCTATACAACTTCCAACAAATCTCTCAGGCAAAAACATCTCAGGCTCAGGCCAAACATTTGGATCTCTTTGAGCTGCATAACAATTAACCATGACTCGGGATCCCTTTTTTATGTGGAAACCGTCGACTACACAATCTTCCATGGACTCATGATAAAATAGTGGCACTACAGGATGCAGCCTCAGGCCCTCTTTTACAACCATGTCTAAGTACTTCAAATTTTCCAGGTCGGATTCTTCAACCGTTCTTTCAAGGCCTACCACTTCTTGCAACTCCTTTTGGAGTTTCTTCATCACTTGGGGATGTCTAAGAAGTTCTGTCAGTATCCATTCTGTTGATGATGCTGTAGTGTCCATAGCAGCTATAAGCATGTCCTGCAAAGGAAACAGGGGAATTAATTAGCACAAACCATTTCATTCTCAAGACTTGTGACCTTATAATAGTATATATGACAAAATGGGATGAAAGTAGATACAAAGAGGATAGCTTTTATGTGACGACGGTCAAGCTGAAATTCTGCTACCCCAGATTGCATTATGCCCATCATGGTGTCTACAAAGTCCTTGGTTTGCTTATGTTCGTGTGAATGCACATGTTCATCAATGATCTTCTCAAGGAACTCATCAAACACTTCTGAAAGATCCTTGAGCTTGCGAGTGAGACCCTGGAGATCAATAGCACCAAGGAAGGGGAAAAAATCACCAAGATTTGGCGTTGCTGCTAAATGCACAACATCTTGAACAATAGATTTGAATCCCCTCTTGTCCAAGTCCTCATCCATGTACTTCTTACCAAACACCATTAAACAAGTCAAGTTAGCATTTAAGGACGTAATCTTTGCACTAAGATCAACAGCTACGCGATCATGAGCTTCCTTTTTAAGCGACTCAATAAGAAGTTGAACTTGTTGTTTTCTCATGGATTGAAATGAATTGATCTTGTTATTGCTCAAAAGGTGCACAGTGCACAATTTGCGCATGTTACGCCAATACACACCATACTTTGCAAATATCAAATTCTTCTGTCCATAAGACAAATATTGAGATGCCTCATGATGAGGCCTGCTAGCAAAAACGTGATCATATGTCTTGAGGACTTTTTCGGCTGCATCAGCAGACGAGGCAACGAATGTAGGTACTAGCCCTAGTCTCATATACATAATAGGACCATGTTTGTTGGCTAGTTTTTGTAAATCTTGGTGTGGATTTTTGCCTAACAAATGAAGATGTCCTAAAATAGGAAGCCCTTTTGGACCAGGAGGAAACTTTTTCCTCTTGTGAATGCTTAGCAGCTGATATACAAATAGAGCAACCACTAGAACTGTCCATATCAAAGTCATTGAGTTGGATATGCAGGGGAAGAGCAGAGCAGTAATAGATGAGTTATGAATGTCAGCACTAAGTATATATGCAATATTCCTAGAATTGATATGCAGTGAATCAAGTCAAATTAACCATAGATGAGCCCAGAAGTCAATTAATGCTCAACCAATCTAATAAGTCTGGAAATGGGACAAATGACTATACACACATGTCAATACCAGCAGCCCATGTTATATCTCTTCTTTTCTGTTTCTTTTCCAAGAAAAATGTATATACTTGTCATTCACTTATTATAAAGACTTAAAAAATTATGGTTGAAGTTTGTGAATCTACATTACGGGTTTTTAAAGTAAAAAACAAAACAAACAAATCTGACAGCCCTTTTATCTCTGAATAACAATAATATCTCACTGACATTTATGTCTTCAAACTCAAAGCGTGCATGAATAATACACACTTAAACTTGTATAATGTTAGATAAGTAAATATATGTGTTCTATGTAGCAATTCACATCCTACGTGTATTATATCATGTAAGATACGTGTGTTCTATTGTTTAACTTTATAAAAAGTTTTGAGTCTGATTGTGTATACTCAAAGTTTGGTGGACATAATTACCAATTGAAGTCAAATTAAAAAATACATCCATTTATGTATAGCACGATTCATAAAAGTACCATTTAACTTGACCTGATTATGTCCTCCAACTTTGGATATACATAAATAAAAATTTAAATTTATATAAAATTAAACAAGTTGACACATGATTCATATATGGGTTGTGACATACATCATGTATGACTCAAATTGTCATGTATGATATTAGGTAAGACGAATATGTCTCTTTGTTCTACTTTATACAAATTTATGTGTCTATTTGTGCACACCCAAACTTCAAAGATATAAATGTGAGCTTTAAGATCAAGTTTAATGATATGTTTATGTATTATACCTTTATGTATTTTGCCTTTCTGAATTGGTGAATATTTTAATTAATAACTATTTATTGTTTACGAAATTGCGTGTATACACATAAATACTGTAATTTTTTTACACCATCAAGAGTTCAAGACAATTTAACAGTTCATATGTGTTACGATCAAAGAGTACGTCCTAGTCGTAACTCATAACATGATACTTAGAGTCATAAGTGATCCTGAGCTAACATTTGATATTGACATAAGTCATAATCGACTAAATATATACATGAATAATAGCTTAAATGACTGAGTGAAAGCATAATTATGGAATAAGTTAGTTGTGTACAACTGAACAAAGTTTGGTTTACAATAATTATAATCTATAAAGAAACTAAAACTAAATAGATTGAATACATTAACTCTAATTGATTGTCTATGAAACCTCTAAAAATACTGGTAGTCGGAAAATGACCCCCTATTACCCTTAATAATTACATATGGAAAGAAATAAGATACTAGAATTGCAAATTAACTGGAGTCCTCAAACAAAGAGAACTAATTGCCTGCTGGTTCTAAGCTTTGATATGTATGACTAGGATCCTAATAGAAGCATCTGGATCTACATCACATGAATAATATAAGCAACATATTAGGTAAGCGATTAGTATTTTAAGGGGTTGTTTGGTACAAAGATTAATAATGCAATGATTAGTAATGTAGAAATTAGTAATGCAGGGATTAGTAATGCCGGTATTATTTTTATCAAATGTTTGGTTCATTATTTTTTACATACTTTTGTATGTGGTTTAAAAGTTTACAAAAAGAATTCTTTCTAATTATATCCTAGAGTTATTATGAGATTTTATATTTCATGTAATTGGGTCAAAGTAGATAATTAACAGACAATATTATTTTTTTATAATATTTTTAACTAGCTAGGAGAATAAATATTTTATTGTCATGTTCACTATTTTTTCACTGAAATTATTTCAGAGTAAATAATTGTCATTTTCATAAATTGGAGTTAATATCTCAAAAGGTCACACAACTATAATGATTTATAGAGAAAATTTATTGAACTTTGTTTTGTATCAATAAATTTTTAAAATACTCTTTATCATAATATAAAAAAATATATAGCACAATAAATTAAACTATTTTTATACTAGAGATGTGTGTGCGTATATATATACATGCTCTTGTTTTAGATTACTTGTGTAATGTTTAATGGACTTTCGTTAAGAGACAATATTTTACTTACTAAGTGTACTTAAATTCATAAATCAACATTAGCATATTAATCGGATTATAATATTTTATATTAATAATAAATAGATTAAATAACTCATGTTTTAGAAACAAAATTTTATATCTAAATAATAAAATTTGTAAGTTAATTTATTTAAATAAATTTATTAGTATAAATATAAAATATGAAATATAAAATCAAAAAAATAAACAAAATGATTAAAAGGATTTGAGGGGGTATTTTTGTCTTTACCTAGATTAGTTCCATGGTATTAGAGCTAATACCACCAAATGGAAGATATTAGTTATACACCCTCCGTAGGGTGCATAACTAATCCCTAGATTGATAATACATAGACCCAAAATTTCTACAGTACATAGTATTAAATAATACCACACATAATACTTGGACTAATTCTCGTAATACTCCCTACCAAACGACCCCTAAATGTAGTGAGTATCTGGGATGCTAACTGAATACAAAACTAATACACACAATTTGATGCAATAATCAAGTAGTAAAACAGGCAACAGATAAATATTGACTGAAGTAATTGAATACAAGGTCATGCAATATGTGAGATTAAATTGTGGAAGGTACTATTAGCCGACATATAACAATGTCACCTAAACATGGAGTTTGATGTATAATCCCCATCGAAAAGGATCAAGTGTACCTTGCCAAGAGATAAAGGTTGATCTGGTCTGATGTGGTAACCATTAAGCTTATAAAATGTGTCCACCGGGGCTATATAAACCCATGGTGACACACAATTTTGTGATTTTGGTATATACTATAGTCCTAGTCCAATTCGATGCGAAGTACTACTTTGAAATAAACATAATCGATGGCTTCTGAGAATGTTTTTCATAATGCTGGATGCTATACTTGACTGTCATACTACTAGTGAACTTTGTTTGTATAAGAAAACTGATCCACGATCATTGATGACATTCCAGATACCATACTAACAAGGAGTTTACTTTTGGGACAATGTTCAAAAAACATTGATGACATATCTAGATGTCATGCATTTTAATGTTATGAGCCAAAGATGCTGAGTACTAAAATCTAGTAGAGGAGGAATAAACACTTCATGTAAAAGGCATCTTATGCATGTTGATATGAAAAACCATGTATTTGTAGACTTATCAGTGAGAAGAAAATGACATTCATGTTGATCAATCCTAGATTTCTATAGATTTGAAATAATTGATATACAGAGTTCTCTTTGAAATTCTAATGGGTGAAAAAAAACCTATTAATGAAATCTTGCATACCTGAATTTCACAAATTCTTAGAGAAATTTTAGGAATATAACTCGAACTTGAGAAATCCTTCTATAGAGTTCTTCGAGATGAAGTTTGTGAAGAATCTTTAACTTGGAAAAATCTCTTTCATGACATTCTTGAGTTTTGGGAGAAGAATTAGGGAATGCCGGTGTTGGTTCATGTATAAGATGTTGTTAGGTTATAACATGGAGTTGGGGTATTTAATAATGGATAAAAGGGAAACAATACCCCGCTTAGAACATAACAAGACCTGGAAAATCAAAGAAAACGACTATTTAGTTAATTTGGTTGCCCAATTCGAGTTCATAATGACTATCATAGTTGTTTTTGGTGATAGTACTATTATTTGTGATAGAAGTATCTATCAATTGTGTTCATCTGTAATGCGTTTATAAGTTTCTTTTATAAGAAGATTTACTGTTATTTACTACTTCCATTGTCCCAATTTAATGTTAGTTATCAACATGGGTATAACTTTTTGGAATCTTATAAAATAAAATTTACAAAAATTGTATAAGAAGTACTATATGTCTCTAATGAATCCAAATATTTAAGAAAAACAGAGAAAATGATAGTCAAAGAAAAGTTGTTTGACTCTCCGAATAGTAACACCTTCAATGGGATAGAGGAAGTTGTTAAAAATAAGTAGATAAAGAGAATAGTTTTTGGTTAATTTTCTATATATGTTCTTGTGAAAACACTATTACATTTATACAGGTAAGATGGAAAGAAATACGGAACTAGATAAGGAAAATGGTTGTACAGAATATATTACTAACATAATTAGTCTATTTTGTTCCTATAATTATTTTGCTAAATATGAATATTTTCTACACTCCCCCACAAGTTGTGCACTCGGATTTCCAATGCTCAACTTGCGCAAGACATTGCTGAAAGCTTCAGTACTAACAGCCTTGGCTAGGATGTCTGCTAGTTGATCTTTTGATCGAACAAATGGAAGTTTGATAACCTTGTCTTCTAACTTGTCTTTGATGAAGTGTCGATCAACCTCAACATGTTTTGTTCTGTCATGTTGGACAGGATTTCCAGAAATACTTATTGCTGCTTTGTTGTCGCAAAATAACTTGCAGGCTGTTTTCTGAGGAAAACCGAGTTCATTTAGCAGTTTCCTAATCCATAGGATTTCAGTTATTCCTTTCACAATTCCTCTGAACTCAGCTTCCGCACTTGACAGGGCTACAACCTTTTGCTTCTTGCTTCTCCAAGTGACAAGATTCCCTCCTACCAAGGTGAAGTATCCAGAAGTGGATTTCCTTTCATCTCGGTCTCCGACCCAATCTGCATCGGTGTAGGCAATTATATCGAGGCTATCATTTTTTCCGAAGTAGATCCCGGTGTTGCTTGTACCCTTTAGATACCTCAGAATCCTCATTACTGCTGTCATGTGATGTATTTGAGGTAGATGCATGAATCTACTCACTATCCCCACTGCATATGCAATATCTGGTCTTGTGTGGGTTAGATAGATGAGTTTCCCTACAATCTTCTGATATTGCTCTCTGTCAGTCGCCTTTGCCCCTTCTATGACCTGAAGACCATGATTTGCTACAATTGGAGTGTCAGCCGGTTTACCACCTAACATTCCAGTTTCAGTTAAAAGATCGAGAATATACTTTCATTGGTGAATAAAGATCCCTTGCGTGGATCTTAAGACTTCTAT